TACCTGTCGAAGAACCTTATCACCAAGGCTCAACAATATTGCGCTGTGGGCTTTCTCGATCATGCCCGTCTTTTCTTTTGCCGTTAACGCAGCGTCCATGGCTGCCTCACCCTTCAACGCTTCCAAACAACCCTGCTGAACCAATAGGGCTTTCATCTTCAAGCGCCACAGACCGAAGTCGTTCACTCCGGTGAACTTTTCAATCTCATACTTTGTTGAATGCATCTTCTCCATGCTCACCGCACCAATTTGTTGTGAATCGGATACCTTTAAACAAAGTATAAACGGTTTCTTAATGATCAAGAAACTCACAAGGGTTAGGGTTAACAAAGAAAACAAGGTAAAACAACAAGGAACAACAAGGATTGGTTATTAAACTGCTATTCTTTCCTTTCTCTTAGAACAAGATTACAAATATACAAGAATAACAAAATAACCTCTCTCCCTTGAAATTAGGATTTTATCTTCCTATTTTTCCTTTTTCTCAAGATTGAGAAACTAGCATCCTATTTATAATAAAATAGCACACTAACCTAATGGGCTTTTTAACAATTACCCATTACAAGCTAACTTAGGGTACAAGCTAACTTAAACAATTGGGCTTACAAGCAAGACCCAATTCAACATGCTAACAACCCTAACAATATTTACTCATGCTAACAACCTTAGCAATATTTACTCATGCTAACAACCTTAGCAATATTTACTCATGCTAACAACCTTAGCAATATTTACTCATGCTAACAACCTTAGCAATATTTACTAATGCATGTTAGAACAAACTTCGACTACAACACGCATTACTTGCGAACAGACTTCGACAACACTAGAGTTCGACCCAACATCTCACATCCATAAATGAAGATTTTTCTCAGATCCATAAATTAATATTTTTCTCAGATCAATATTTCAGGAAGAGATACCTTTCAACTGGTTTTGTGTAGGTTTAAAATTGAAATCAATGTACAACATGTTGGCTTTGTTACTACTTTTATATTATAGAACCACGATAGTGCACAACTCTTGGGTGTTTCACTTGCTCAACTTCGCAACACAATGGTAGATGTAATATAACATCAACTTATAAATGTTATATGACGTTTTCTATTAGAAAATTAACCTAACTATATCTTTATTTATGCATAAGATGGTATAAATGACCCACTAGAATATCCTATTGCACTTGATTCAATGTTGGATAAGACCTTGGCTTTTAAGGTTAAGTCACAACCTAGATGGAATACTTCATCATTTGTATCCTTCCTCGAAGATCAACATACAATTCAGCAACTACTTCGTACATGGGACGAAAATAAGGTCTTTATTATAACTATTTACTTTTCATGTAAACAAATATCATACTAATACAAATGACTCTTTTAAATCATTGCAGTATCCAAATCATCTAATTGTAAATGATGCTAACTCATTTGATATATGCTTTTGCACAAAATTATTTCCCATGATTTAGTATTAATATATCATAAGTCATATACTCATATTGTTTTCTGTAACATTTGGATCAAAGAAAACGTTGATGAAACAACAATTGAGGAAGACTATAACGCCAAGGTTGTAAGTATTCTTATAAATATATTTACCACAACAACTTCTTTCTTATTAGTAAACTCTTCATCTTCTTAATAATTGGCTAGTCCTTATTTTATTTTTTTCCTTTCACACGTCATCACTAAACCTGTTTCCGCTCAGGACTTGGAAATAACTGCCAGACATCAACCCAAACCTCTCACCCCAGTTACCCCTCCCAAGAGGGTGCATGAATCAAGTGAGTCTTCAACTTTAAAAAGAACTTTGGGATTGCGACAGAGAAATCTCCTCAACTAAGATCAACAATATTTTTAAATCATATAAGTGGTATTTTCGATGCACATCCTACTACCCTCTTGGACATTTGTGTTATGGATTTTGTTGCCCTACCCTTTTCCTATTTATTGAACTATTTTTACCAATCATGGTGTGTAATGCTTAATGATAATTTATGCTTTTCTTAATTGATGTTTATCCAATATAGGTTCATACCTTAATTTTTAACTTTGACAGTGCACTTCTTTAATTGATGTTTAAGTAATTATTAATTATTTGTCTATCTAACTTAATTAACTCCATGTATAAATGTTTCACTAATATCTTCGCAACTTTTATTGTTTTGTCAGTTTTAATAAAACCTTACAAAATATATCATTAACAACACCAACACGTGTTACAATAGTATCAAACTCAATATCTCGTGGTAATTATATCTAACAAAATTATTATTTAGGGTCACATCATCATCCTCTTTATGAATTAGAGACTGTCAACATGTCAGACAGGATCTTTGACACATCTTTATCAACATTTGAATATTCCAAATTGTTTCATAGGTCTCCTAACCAAAATAATTTTAAATGAGATGATGATTTTTCATAAGCCCGTACATGAATGGGACATCGATCACATTTCCACCAGTAGCTAGATCTGACTTATCGACATGTGGAATGTTGTTGAGAGTAATATCTAGTACATATTTTTTGACATACAGACTGTAGTTGAACTCCAATACACTAAGAGTAATACCAATTTCACCAAATATAGTATCATGTTTATGGTTTATCAAAACTCTAGACATATGAGAAAGAATTCTAATAGGAAGAATTATGCCATAATCGCTATTATTCTTTAGCCTATTCTTTTGAATGATTGTTGGTTATTCAATGTTAGGAGGACCTCCAACCTGACCACCAACATTCCCTTCAATGACAACACCTTGCTTGAGTATCATAAAGTCCATAAGTGGTAATTCAAAAGCATGAGTAAGATGTTAAAATATCTTGTAAGACATTTTGATCTGCTTTTCAAGTCGACAAACTTCATATATATTTCCTTCTTTAATTTTGAGTTATGTACACATATGAGATCTTTCCTTGCAATAACGCCTAAGCTTTCTATACCATGGCTTTCCTTGGAATGTAGAGTTTTACTGTCCATCTTCAGAGAGAAGATGGAAGAAGTTAGAGTAAAAGAGGTGTGACCCATGCTAGTTTTACCGGAGCCCCACGGTGGGTGCCACTATATTGGTAAAAAATTATATGTGTGCATGTTATCCCTATAAAAGCATGGGCACTTAGGGGCCTTAGTAGATATATAACAAATAATGGTGGTTAACACTTGCTCACGGTGGCAAAAAGCCTTGTATGATGGTGTTTACCGTGGTTTAGAGGACCTGCTCATGGTGGTGAAAAGCCTTGTATGATGGTGTTTACCGTGGTTTAGAGGATCTGCTCACGTGAGGTGAGAGACTGTGTGTGTGTGTGTGTTAAGTGCTTAGGTGCAAGTATATGACTTAGGATCAGACTTTTCTTCCGTTGGGGAAAGGTATTTATAGAGGCTTTGGGCCTAGGGTTTCTGATCTGACATGATCAGAAAAGGACCAATGACCTGCCACGCGTCGTTGATCTGCAAGCTGCTCACAAGGAATATGGACGAGGAGGGGGATCTACCTGCAAGACACTCCGATACCAAAGTAAGTAATGGACCAGAGTGGGAGCAAATACAGAAGAGAGGTTAAGAAGTGAATACCTGACCCTCTAGTGAAAGAGGGTATTTATAGTGAGACCCCAGCGCATGGCCAACGATCACTTGCGTTGGGCCGGATTGCCTGACCCAACCTAAGTGACTGTTAGGGCTTACATGACTTAGTGAAGACCAGCACGTGGTCTTCACCCAAGTTCAACCGTCTCGTGATCTCCGAAAGGTGGGCTGACCAACTCTTTCGGAAGTGGGTAGTTGGCTGATAACGTGTCCCCGCGGAGGGGGCACGTGGAGAACCTGTGGAAGATGTGTTGTCCTGTCCGACGGAGGGACTGTCCTGCTCGGTGAGGGAGCTGTCTGGTCGACGGGAGAACCTGTGCCTGACACAGGGCAATTTGGGCCTTCCCCAAATAACGTTGGGCTGGGCCTGCCCGAAGGATAGGCAGGCCTGGGCTCAGTCCAGAACAGTTTCCTTGAGAAAGGTCATCGTCCACCTAGTCAATAATGGACCTTTGAATCCCTATTTTTAAGGGGTCGTGTCAATTATTGTCTCTGATTTCTCTCTAGCCAAGAAACGTCTTATTCCACGTTTTCCATGGCTGAGCAATAGAGAAGTATTCTGAGTGAGGTTGTACCTCCCCAAGAGCGACATATGACTGTCGCCTTTCTTGGGGGCGGATGATGACCATCGCCCTACTTAGGTCCCTTACAAATATAACACTATATAAGTTGATTTCCATATACGACGCCACTGTTCCGTTCAAAAACAAAAAATGGATGCAGTTGATGAAGTAAATGTCTTGAATTGGTGGTGTTGATCTCTGTGACAACGGTGCAGGATGGATCTGCATGGTTAGCACTCTAATGTCCAAGTTAGTTCAAAATTTAAGATAAATATGGTGAAAAGTGGAAATAAAAAAATATACCTTATTTCTTTTGAATATTGACTTTATACTTTGAGTTGGATGAAGTGAATTTAAAATGAATTAAACATTTAACCAACCCATAACAATATATATAATTTTGTTTCAATTATTCAAAATAGTTCAAAATCCTACTTTGACCTAGAAAATATCCCAAAAACAAATATGTTATAATTAACAATGAGTTTAATAAATATGAACAGATACCATAAAATAGTATATCATCAATCTTTTCATGTCACCTAAATAATTTTAAAACACTTGTTATTTGACATAATATACGGTATTATTTGATTGTCTATATAAAATTATTTTACTCAGGTACATATTTTATTTTCTCGTTAACAATCAACATGGTTGTATTTTAAATTTAGAAAGATTATATTATAAAATTATTCCGCATATTAAAAATATACGATTTTAAGTGAAAAATAAAAAGTGCCATTCATCAAACATCTAGAGTGCAAGCGCGCCTTCTGTTCAGAACTCGAATCACACACACAATTCTCAAACTCTCATCTCATCGTCCACACACCGCACATCACCATGTTTGGAGCTCAATCTTCTCCTTCCCTCTTCGGAACCCCTTCTACAACACCGGCATTCGGTACCCCAAATTTCGGTACCCCATCTTCCACTCCAGGTTTCAGTACCCCAGGTTTCGGAACCCCTTCTTCAACCCCTGCTTTTGGGGCTTCTTCCACTCCTGCTTTCGGCGGTTCTTCCCTTTTCTCCTCACCATTCTCTTCTCAACAGCAACAGCAACCACAGCAGCAGCAACAAACTTCACTCTTTCAACAATCACCTTCTACTGGTTTCGGATTTCAGAATTCTCTGCAAGCGCCTCAAGCTACGCCGTTCCCAAATTCTCAATTGACTACTCAAATGGCTAACGTAGCTCCAGTTCCATTCTCTCTAGCTGATCGTGATATTCAAGTATTTTTTTTAACTACACTCCTCAAATTATTTTCAATTTCAATTTTGTATTGATTAATCTTGCTTGTTATCTGTGTTTTTTAACCAGGCAATCCTTGATGCTTATAAGGAAGATCCTGGAAACCCGAAGTATGCTTTTAAGGTTTTCTTCCTCCCACTGTGTTCTTCATTTGGGAAAAAAATTCAACTTTGAAATTTTCGTTTTATCCCTTTGTGGGGTTACTGCTGTTAATGTTATATACTTCGGTTGGATTTCGTAATTATGAACATTTTATAATTTTGAAGTTACTTGGAATTATGGGTGATGCCCAAATTTACACCAATGTTACTTTTTTCTGGTACCTTTGTCAAATGTTGGAATTGTGCATGTTAACTCGTGTTGGTGTTTGTGTGTGTTGTGCAGCATTTGTTATTTAGTGTGACAGACCCACAGTTTAGGGCAAAGCCTGCTGGTGTTTCGGATGTAAGTTCATATTACTTTTTTCCCATCGAACAAAACCCTAGTTGGTAGTTTCTTTTTCTTTTGTCATGCCAGTGGCTAATTGTGGGGAATAGTTTATCTTGCTAGATCATGTGGGCGGAAGCTATGGGGAAGCTTGAGGGTATGGAAAGTGCCGATAGAGAACGTCTGTGGCCACAGCATGTTCAAGGTTTTAAGGATCTTTCCCAACGCCTTAAGGTAAACTTTATTTGCTCACTATATTTAGTTTGATTGAAAGAGGTGAATAGAAAGGACTGAATTGGAATGACAGTAGTTTTGGAGTGTTTAAAATGGGGGTGGAATGTGATGGAAATTGATGGAATCCATTCCATTTGATATGTTTTATTTTCTTTACCAGTTTGGGGGGCATGAAGGCACTTATTGTTTCCTTATCTTCTGTTACTTTCAAACGTTGGAATTGAACTTTTCTTCATTCCATCATAAAATTTCCAAATATTGGGATGATAATTTGTTCCATTCTAATTCACCTATCACTAGATATCTAAACAAATCATTGTTCTTGTTCATTATAGCAATGAGTTTATAGGCTAACTACTAGACTAATACTAGCATCTTGAATATATGATCTTTTGAAGTAATGTATGTTCATATGACTACTGAGCATTTTGACTCTCTGCAGTTTAGTTTTTAGAAAAAATAGAGGTAACCCAGTGCAACTGAGCTCCAGTGATAGTGTGATCCACAGAAGACCAAATCCATTCTAAATCTATTATAAACAATTTTACCTTGTAATTTAGATTTTAAATAATTATATATAGGGTCTTGCTAATTTGTGTCCTTAGGGCACAAGTTAAGGATACCGAAAGTAGAAAAATTGACTTGAATAAAGCAATGTTTATAGTTTTGAAGAATTGATTGCACATGTTTCAAATGAATATTTCTATCATTAGATCACTAACTTGTGCCCTTAAGGCACATGAAGTGTTTTCGAAATTTATTCTGCTCAGCAATTCTCCATGATTAATACTAAATCAGAGAACTTCAATGCTGATGTCAAGATTTTGTAACAAGTAACAAATGTTTCTTAATAAAATGTGTTGTTCTATTTTCAAAAGAAATTGGTGATAGGCAGTGATATGAAGGGCATTGACATGTGTGTGCGTCTGTAACTTAGACACATGGGAACTGCTAATATACTCCTGTTTGCTTTTTGGAATAAGTAAATTAGTATATCCTATGAGTGTTTAGTAGACAAGTTAATATGATGAGGCATAGCATATGGGTTTTGTTTCACGTTTGGTGCATGTTAGAAGTAGAACAAAGCAGGACAGAAGTTGAGAAATGGGCTGCATTTTTAATTTTAGTTCAACATAAAATGGTGGAATCAAATAAAACAGATAGAACTCGAAATTCAGATTCATTTTGTCTGTGTATCAAAAGCCACATACACTTTTTTCATTTGAACCAATACTGATCCCCCCTTCTCAGAAACAACTTAAATTAGTATCCTATGACAGTGTTTAGTAGACAAGTTAATATGAGGCATAGCATATGGGTTTTGTTTCGTGTTTGGTGCATGCTAGGAGTAGAACAAAGCAGGACAAAAGTTGAGAAATGAGCTCGTTTTTAATGTTAGTTCTACATAAAATGGTGGAATTAAATAAAACAGATAGAACATGCTGTTCAGATTCATTTTGTGTGTGTACCAAAAGCCACATACACTTATTTCATTTGAACCAAAACTCATTCTCCCTTTTCAAAAACAACTTAAATTGATGGTTACTTAAGTAATTTTTTAAAGAAAAACATAGGCCCTATTTACTTTGTGAAAACGTTTTCTATTTTCATTTCTGAAAATATATGTTTATTTTAACTTATTAATGAATAGATACCAGACATTTGAGGTGAACAATTGTATCCATTTTTTGGAAATAATGAAAATGCCAAAATTCTGTTTTCATTATTTACAAAAATGTATCATTCCAAGCTAGAATTCCATCTTTCCTCCATCACAATTGCCATTCATTTCCACATCATTCTGCTACTGGTCAAAGACTAGACAATTGAATAAAGTAGCAATGTGTATTTTCCTAATAACAGAGTAACTGTTTGACATGCTTCTAATTGTAAAGCTCCATTTTATACTCGATGTATTTGGAAAAGAAAAAAAGGAAATATTAATATATAGTAGAAGTCTAAATCATTCTGCCTGTAAAGTATAAACTGTATAAACTACATGGCACTCATACTCTCGTCTTCGATATGGTTAGCATTTTAAGTGAAGTTGACTGAAGTCTAATCCTCTGGGCGGAGGGGATTGTTCATGATCGGTGTGTGGGTTAGCAGCTGCAAGATTGGTATGTTAGTCAATTTTAAAAGCAACACCCCAGAAAAAGTTGAGAAAACATAATACTTGATGGGTGACATTTGATGATAGAAAGAGGTAGGAGCGGTAACAGCACAGCACTAGCAAAGAGAGAAATATGATATGGTCCAAATAAAGGGCTGTGGCTATTAATATGCATGTGTTTTGGATTACAGTGGATGTCCCACATAACGCACGTCCAAATGTACACATAGGCACAGTCCTTCTAACTTACGAGTGGGAATAATTACACATTAAATGATGTGTTAAAGCGAGCAATGAGCTTTTAAGAACATGACATCTCCAATTGTAGTATTAGCTTGATAATCAGTTGAGTATATATATTTATAACTAACTCCTTACTGGGTAGATATTGAAATATGCCAGATTGGAAAAGACTGATGCTTTGATCTGTATCCACCTGATGCAAAAAAAGAAGAAGAGATACTTACAAAAATCAGATATAGATTTTAGAAATTGTTTGAATATGAGCCTTGATGATACATTTTCGCTCACATTGTCTTGCAGCTCCAAGATGAAGTCATTGTCTCTGATGCAGAGAGATTAAGTGTAACCCAAAGCAATGTTAAAATGGTATTACTCTTCTCCTGCTCTCCCTGGTGAAATGTTGAACCTGTGCCAGCTTTTTATGCTGACTTATCTATTTGATTCTCTGATGGTATTTGCAGCTCCAAAGACATTTTCAAGCTGACACTCTTCCTTGGATTCAAAGATTGAAACAGAAAGAACAGATTCTTCAGCAACGCATTTTAAGAGTAGGGACAACTGTTGTGTGCTTGAGATATAGCTTTCACATTTCTTGTTTTGTCTAGTTCTCCCCTCATCGTCCATTCTCTTACCAGTCCCTGATAATATTTCAATTCATTAGTTTATTGGTCCGAATCCAGAAAGTCGCATTGAATTATAACACCAAGCTAGTTTGATCCATGGCATTGGATTTTCTTTTAACTAATACCTCGTTATGTCTAATCATATGCGATGATTGAAGGTGATGAGAATAGTGGAAGCATTGGAGGGAAAAGGCTGCCGTATTCCCTTAACAAAAGGGGAAGCTGAACTCGCAGAGAAATTAGCCACAATAACTAGACAGGTAGACTTTTTTTGTAGCTTCTGCTTCTTATTGTTGTTTTGATGAAACTAACCTGTAAATATCTTTTCAGTTGAAGGGATCTGGAGCAGAATTATCCAGAAGGGTACAAAATCTACTCGGTGTATCCCGTGTCAAGGCTAATAGCAATGGATTTGGTAACTCCGGTTATCTTCCGGGCTCAACCAAAATTCATGAACAGAGTCTGACTGATCTACAGGAGGTAAGATGGTACCATGTACCAACCTTAGAGGTTTATTCCTCAAAATCTGTCTGTTCTTTTGCTGTTTTTTAATAGTTCATCTGTACGACATAATGCACATAATAAATCCAAAGAACCAACGAGGCTTTACTCTGATAACAGGTTTTACACCAGCAGATGGATGCCATAGCGAGACTTGGCAGTGTTCTAAAGCGAGATGCACGGAATATGGAGATTATGACGGCAGAGGACACAGAAACAACAGAAAATGGATATTCAATGTAAACTTGCCTAAGAAAATATGTAGTTTTCTTGCTTCATATTTGCATTTGAGTTGTATGTTTTTGTGTATCTTGATTTGGAAGTATAGTTAGCTCAATAGTTTCTTCTAGGGACACCTTTTTGATCCACGAGTGTTGTTTCCGTGGCTATTTTAAACATGCTATGTTATTGAATAGTTCGACTAGGTTAGCAAGGGATAGAGGGTTTTAGAGAAAAAGTGACTAATGAGAATTAAAAGCACATTTTGCAACTTTAAAATTTTGAAAATCAAATGATTGTCATAAAATCAAATGTTATATTTTTTCGAACAAAAGAATAACTAAAGGCTTCAATTCCTTCATCTTTTGACAATAGTATTATGATTTGACAATAGTATTATGATTTATAGATCAAAAGTAAAAATCTACATTCTCTAAATTTTTTGTTAAAATCTTTTATCCAAACTTGCACTTAGATGTTATGTGAGCTTTGTCTAATATGCACAAATTAGTTAATCTTCTACCCCAAGATTTTTCTTTTTTCTTTTTGCTATTAGATCAATAAGTTCTATTATGGATATATTGGTTTCAGTTTTGTTTAAAAAATATTTATAAAAAAACCTTAATAAAATTTTTCAATAAAAAATTAATTTGAATAGTTATTTTAAATATTTCATCATTTTATTATAACTTTTTTACTTGAAGTCATTTTAAATAATTTTTTGTAAAAACTTTTTTGATATATTTTGATTTTCAACTATATTTATTATTGCAATTATATTTTGATTTTCAATAATGAATGTTTATAATTTAAGTTATAGGGATTCAATAATGGTCTTTTAATAGTACCAAAAATTTTATAAAAAATATTTTTTAAAATATAATATCGTTTTTACTTTAAAGGTAAAACAAATAAACACGTCCAATATCTCATTTGAATTAATGATTAATTTATTTTATTGATATAATATTTAAAATAAGCTATGTAATATTTATGTGTAGAGATGCGAATAGAAGCTATGTAATATTTATGTGTAGAGATACGAATAGGTTAGATTAGGCTTACTTAAGTTTGATGAGACCTATTTAATAAAAAAATTAAACTTAAATTTTTTAAAATTCTATTCAATTAAATAGATAAAATTTAGGTTATTAAAAAAACCTGTTGATTTATATTTTCATATATATTAAAATTAGTTTAAATAGGCTGATATATATATATATATATATATATATATATATATATATATATATATATATATATATATATATATATATATATATATATATATATATATATATATATATATATATATATATATATATATATATATATATATATATATATATATATATATATATATATATATATATATATATATATATATATATATATATATATATATATATATATATATATATATATATATATATATATATATATTAGAAAAAAATGCTAAATAAATCCGTTTATATACACATATATAAATTTACATATAAGACTTTTTAAAAATATAGATTAATTAAAAAATTTAATAATAAATATATTTTTAAATAGACATTCAAGTTAGGTTGGAATTTTAAAAAGATGAAGTCAGACTAAAAAAAAATAACTTATAGTAACTTATAGGTCAGACCTTAAAATTTATCTTAGGTGAGCCTCCACCCCTTCTTACTTATACCATAAAACTAGTTTAAATGTGTTCTTATTTTTGCAGACTTATTATTAATATTCAATTGGCAATAATGAGTTAACAGTATTAAATATGGGAATAACTTTCTTCGCCTCCACATTTTTTAAAGACTAAATATTTTTGAAAGTGTACATCTAAGTTGCATATTTTATTCAAAGGGTTTTTCATATGGCAAAATGCTATTTTAACTTTTTCAAATTTATAAATCTAAAAAGATGTTAGGTAGAGTAAAAAATTCATCACTCAATATATTATTTGAAAATCATGAAGTACAAAATTATTCAATTAGGAGATATCTTAATTTTTTAAGATTTAATCATTATATCGATTATACAAAGACCAAAATTGTACAAATTACATAGATAAAGATTCAAGTTAGTGAGAATAAATTTGATTTTATGTCTGAAAGGTCAATCATGCTAACGATCTATTTACTATAATGTGTGATGGAGCAATATCAAATGAATTAATAAAACATGCATTAAATTTTCATTGACTTGGAGAAGACGTGTGAAAGAGTTCTTAGAGAAGAAATAAGTTAGCGAAGGAAGAGAAAAACATAAGAAAAGGGGTTTAAGAGTTTTTACCAAATATAAACTTTTAGAAATTTCAAAAAAAATACAAATATTTTTATCCCGGTTCACGGTTAACAAAGTTACTCCAGTCCATCCGCCAAAGTGATTTTGCCTTCAAAAAAGATTTAATCCACTAATCTAGAAAGATTACAACAAATTCGTCTAAGTGTTTAGAAAATCACCTCAACCTTCTCAAGTCTACAGACTAACACTTAGTCACTTGAGAAAAAATGATATCAAAAAAGATACAAGAAAGTGTTTACAAAGGTGTTCTATAAATCAGATGAAACAAATTTAAGAACAAAGTATTACACAAATATGAGCAACAACTCTTTGTGTTTTAATAAAACTTATGAGTGTATTTCACTTGTGATATTGATCGTTCCTTTCTTTGTTGTTAAGCAATGCGGTAGAGACTTCTTTTTATAGCTGAATGTTTGAATGTTGAAAGGTACAAACGTAAATCTTGATGCCAGCTGTTGCAATGGTAATAACAAGACCGTGAGAGATAATAGTGGTAAAGTTTCACCATATTCCATATAGCAGTACTGACATGAAATCAGTTTAAACCAAAATGGAAATGAACTTTTGTACGGATTATTTTATCACACATTTTTGTCTTGACCTTATCTTCTGATCAACTTTATCTGATGAGAAGTGATGATGAGTCAGAAGATGAACGACTGAATGGTATTAGAGTCTTCAAAGTCTTTAGAAGTAATTTCTTCAGAGTCTTCAGAACTTGTTCAACAGAACTTTGTCTTTAATGTCTTCAGTTCTAGATATCAGAGTTGGAAGCAAAACTTCTTAGAAGCGCATAACTTTTTTTTTCTTCAGAGACATTCACCGTTCATCAGAACTGATGATGTTTCTTAAGAGACGAACAAAGTAATTCCTTGAGGCGTGCCAGAAGGATTCTGATGAAACTTCTTCAGAATCAATTTGAATTTAATATCTGCAAGCTTCAGAATTTTGATTCGAGTACAAAATTGTTACATATAAAATATATGCATTGTTATCATCAAAACTAGAGATTATATGCAGAACCAAAATCTTGTTCTAACAATCTCTCCCTTTTTGATGATGACAAAATAATTTACTTTGATGGTACAATGTGTATGAAAATATATACAAGAGATATCATAATTTCAGAAAATTATCAGAGTTAAGTTAGAAAACTCTCCCTGAGATAAACAAGCCCCCTCTGAGTCAGAACCTGCTTGAGTTATCAGAACCTTTTGTAATGCTTCTATCTAGCTTGATCCTTTCAGAAAGTTCCAGAAAGAGACATAAATATACTTTGCATATATATATATATATATATATATATATATATATATATATATATATATATATATATATATATATATATATATATATATATATATATATATATATATATATATATATATATTAAGGTTAGAATGTAATCACTAATATTAGAGAAACAAATACGTATCAAAATCATTACGTATTGTATTAAAGATGATGCAAAATGATACAGGAGAGAAATTAATAACTTAGAACATATCAAAAGGCTAAAAAAGGAAGCCTAAGTGCCTAAGGTTGAGAAGAGGGAGGAGGGATCCTCTACATAAGTTGAGAAAGCATGTTCTGAATGTTGGTGTTGACTTCATCTTGCTTTTCGAGTCTAGTTCTAACTTTCTGTTGTTCTTGATGCATTTCTTCTAAAGTTTTCATCATGGGAGGGAAAATGTCAGCTTCAGGAGTGAATGCTCTATTAGAGCCTTGTCTAGTTTCCTTTTCAGCAGCTACCATTCGAGCTTGTTACTCTGAAACTTCCTTCTCAGCGGCCTCTTTCTCCGCAGCTTCAATAGCTTCTATTTCAGCAGCCTTCTGAGCTTCCAATTTGTCTTCAGACTCCTTGACAAAATTTTCCTTTACTTGGACACAAAGATTTCTGATTTTGTCAAATTCACCAGCTAACCATTTGTTAAAACGATTCCATCTAGTATCCAAATATGAAGGATCGCTGCTAGATTCAGACTCCTCATAGAGCTTCTGAACTCTTCTTTCTGCATTAGCCTTGAAACTAGATATTACTTCATAAAGGTTTAGGTTATGAGGTTGAAAATCAGAGGTGTTATGATCAGAGTTGGTTTCTTCATCAAAACCAGATTTCTTAGTAAAGATGTTATTAGATTCTAAAGAAGCATTTGTCATGGTTTGATCATCATTCTCATTAGGTTAGTGTGGGTCAGAAGGTTCAGAAGTTGAGGATTGAAATCCTGAAGGACATTTGTTATGGAGATGGAAATATGTATGGGTTCTGAGGTAGATATGTATTTTGAAATAGGTATAGGTTTGGAAATAGTATTTTCAGAAATTGGTTGAGTGATGTTTGTGGGAAAAGCATCTAAAAAGACATCATTGGCAACAGATGGGAAATTAAAGAAGTGATTTCGATACAGTTGTTGTGGGAATGGTTGTGGGGATGAATAATTTAGGATTTATTGATGGAATTATTTCAGAATTGATTTTTGTGTTGGGAATGGTTTCAGATGTTGTTGTTGTTTGGAAAATGGGTTCAGAAAAAATGGTTGTTGTTTCTGGGGTGGTTTGGGAGATGGTTGATTTAGATGGTGTTGGTGGTATTTTGTATTTTTCAGAAGGATCTAAAGTAGTAGATGGTAAAGGTGGGATGGATGTAGTTGTGACTATGGTCGAGATAAGTGGAGGAGGTGGCGGTATTGATGAAGTAAAGGTTCTAATATCAGAACCAGATGCAACAGATT